TCCAAGAACCTATTGGCGGCATTAAGTGAGGACTTACTATACTTATCTCATAATCCCAAATGTAAAGAGCTACGTCAGAATCTTTAAAGAGATGAAAGTTTAGGTAATTATTACATTTCCATTTTATCCAAATTTGTTATGAACACACACACATGCACACACACACACACGCACACACACACACAAACTCACAATTTCATTTTCCCCATGGCGTTGACATTTCTGAAAAATCTACGCCTTTGATGTTCACAAGAACACTGAGTAGCTTAGGTCCTGATATATGAGCTGAATTATTCATACTGTCCCACGAGGTCATTTGTCCGTGGGATAGTAGTCACTTCTCCAGCCCATGAGATTGCGGCCCAGCCACTGCAGTGCTATGAGTATTTTGAGTCCCACCTAGCAGATAGCCATTCATTCATGTGTCAGCCCCTCTGTGCCCAGCTCCTGAGCCACGTCCTGGGCAGGAATCCTGCCTCCATCCTTAGGATCGCCCCATCCCTCTCTCATGACACCCTAATTCTGAGATGAGGTCGGTGCTGGAGTTAGCATATCTGTTGCACACATGACTAGGGATGTATTTTGAAAGCTAAAAATTCAGTTGGCAGCTTGCCTCCATTCACGTGGCTTGAAAGTGGCCACATCTCAATGGATGTGCACGTTCTGTTTTGGACAATTCTGCAGAAGTTTAACAACTCCTTTTGATTAAAAATGGCCCAGGTGTATAATGAGTTGGGCGCAATCACATTCTAAACTGAGATTAGCATTTTCTGAGGAACTCGAAGGACATTATCAGAGTAAGGAATCCTGAAATCGCTAACAGGAAATGTCCAACGAGCTTTCCCAGGAATATGTGACCGACAATTGCTAAGTGTTTTTGACTCAGAAGACTGTGTTTCTAGAGAAGGCACCTTCAGCCTGAAATCATACAGGGAAGAACTGATTTAAGGAATACCAAAGGTTTGGCCATCCATAAAGTGATAGGACCTGTAGGAAAAGTAGGTTTTCACTGTGTACTTAGGTAGAAGACAATTCCCAAAGAAACGTCTTAAACTGAGATTAGCATTTTCTGAGGAACTCGAAGGACATTATCAGAGTAAGGAATCCTGAAATCGCTAACAGGAAATGTCCAACGAGCTTTCCCAGGAATATGTGACCAACAATTGCTAAGTGTTTTTGACTCACAAGACTGTGTTTCTAGAGAAGACACCTTCAGCCTGAAATCTTACTGGGAAGAACTGATTAAGGAATACCAAAGGTTTGGCCATCCATAAAGTGGTAGGACCTGTAGGAAAAGTAGGTTTTCACTGTGTACTTAGGTAGAAGACAATTCTCAAAGAAACGTCTCTGGTCATAAACCAAATGATGAGCTTTAAGACAGTTCATGGCTCCCCCCATCCCATTCCAATGAAGTGTATAAAGGATGTCCTACCTAGAACCTCTGATGATAACTTTCACGAGAACCCCAGACTCTCAGGCAAGACCCTATCTATGTTCAGAACTTGGCTTTGGAAGGGACGCTGGTCCTGTCTTGAGCACCTGTGAGTGAAGAAAAAATTCCTGCAATGCCTGAGGAGGGCACGGATCTCCGTTAGGACCAGTCTCAGGCTGCAATGTCTTTCTCTGAAAAGACTCATAGGAGAGGCCAGCTCAGTTGCAAACTGTGATATATCCCAATGTTGAGCAATCGGACCTCCCAACTATCTGAAAGTACCAGCTAAAGTAAAGAAGAAAATGTGCATGCTTATTATTGTATAGAAATGTAATATACACTTTAGTTACACACCGAAACACGCATTTCCCATTTCCTTCCATTTCATCCATTTGTTTTTCTGATTATCTGACCAATTGCTTTAAGTTGCTCATGTGAATGAACACTCTCAACCTTTTTGAGGTCCATTTATGATTGGAATCACATTTGAAAGCTTATGCCAATTTTTAACCTGATCCCAACTTGCTCACACTGGCGTTGTAAATCTTAAAAAGCCATCATCTATCCAGAACAGCTCACTGCAGTATAACTCCAGATAGACAAATAAGGCATGCTATACATTTTCTCAGTACTGCTTACAAATGAGTCACCGTGAAGATATCCGCCTGTGAATTTCAATGTCGGCAGCATTATTCCACTTAAGGTGAACACATGGTCAAATATTAGCGGCCATTACTAATGGAGGGGAGGGGGGTCACAGGCAATCTCAAACCAAGGTCACCTCCAAAGCCATTCCTGCTTCGCAGCGGTGCACTGGAGGGTAAATGAAAGCTTAAGGTTACCCTTCCTGATTCTAATTTGCTTGACTTCTTGCGTTGAGATTGGTCTTCCCTTGAGCATACACATATGTCCTGAAGGTACGAGATACCAGAGAGATTGCTGGTCAAACAGCAGGCATAACTGTCACATGTAACTGAGAAAGCAAATGATCAGAAAAGGGACCCCTGAGCATTCGGTGCATATAATACCAGTGACATAACTGCGAGGAATAAAAGTAATCGTTTGCATGAGAATTATCCACCTCAGCGTCATTGACATGTTGATGCAAGGGCTCCTTCCTGGCTCTAAACTATCACCTGGTGGCAGTGATGAAAGAAAAAGCTTTTTCTCTCATTTGAAAGAGCTACACAGACAGACAATAGACTTCAGTGAGGGTAGGGAGCTCTGAAAGGTGGAGAATTTATTGGTCTCTGCCTTTAAAACAGAGGTCAATGGCACAGGCACCCAGGAAGCAACTCTTATTCCTAGTTTCCCAAAGGCCCCCTAGAGACCAATGTCCATCCCTGACGACATTTCACCAGTGCCCATCAAGAGGAGAACAATGAGGACAAGGCTCATTAAATGAGTTATTCATTCAATTACATGCATTCAATGTCAAGGACACATCTTTTGTTCTGAGATTACGATATTCTTGTGGGGGAAAATGTACCTTTCTTTTATGAAATGGGAGTCATTCAAGAGCACTATAGCTGTGACCATTTATATAAATAAGTCCCAAAAATGATTTTTTAAACTCCCCTTCCCTGTGAAACTCAAAGGTCCAAGAGCAACGGAAGGCATGAGGGACTGCTGGAGTGGACAATCAGCTCAGTTTAGCTCAAAGAAGCGCAACTGTAGGAGGGTAAAAATTACACCGAGAGATGGAAATGCCTAACTATGAACGTGCCCAGATCTTTAGCCGATTTATGTCTGGCTGTTAGATTCCCAGGTCAAACCACTTGCTGGGAGGGCATCTTGGCATCTCCAAGCCAGAATGTATGCCCAGACAAAGGCAGCATCTTTCCCACCTCCTCTCAACACAGAGAACTAAATTTTGTCATTTTCTGCACCTTTTATAAATGATTTCTACCCAAGAAGCCAATTGGAGATGCACTGCGTGGTGGAAAGTCCATCTCCTTTGCCTTCTGAGGGGCTGTTCTAATGCAGCTAATCCCAGGGGCCGAGCCCTCTGGCCCTGGGTGGATCCTGCTGTGCAATTTCCTGGAACATTGGTCCCTGTTCCCTTCTCTCCATTTAACTGTCTTTTTCCCTGTGGTAGCCTCCCTGGTACTCAGAGCTGAAAGTCACTGCTCCAGTGCCCGAGGGGCATGTACTTCCCTTTCTCGTGTTGGCACCTGCCACTCTATCTGGGGCTGGAGAAAGTTTCAGTGAATTCTACCAGTGATGAAGCCATGCTACGGAGTTCCTTAGAGACCTGGAAATTAGGTGACACTGTCTGTCTCCAGGAAGGTTAAAATGAAGAGTCCGACAGCCCACAGGGAGGATCCTCTGGATGCGGCTGGAAGGTCCCTGAGGTCACAGTCCCCGACTCTGGCTCAAGTCAGAGGACGCGACCCCTGTCTCTCAGATATGGGAAGGGTCTGGGCACAAGGGCCTCCAAGGTGCTGTCAGCTCGCCCAGGCTGCCAGTCAATGAGCCCGTCACCGGACCTCAGTCTAGCCTGTGGTCTCGCGCATGGCCACGCCCAGAGGCTAGCAGAGAAAAGCAGGAGTGGTGAGTACAGCCCGAGGCTGCGAGTTTTCACTGCCCCACTCTGCAGAGGCACCACATCTTCTGCCTCTTGGGGACAGAGACGAGCACCCCTGTTCGTCTAGCCTTCAGCTCCAGTTCCCCCCTTCTTGTCAAAGAAGCTGTCTTATGTTGGAGCTGTAAGCGAGCATTGCATTTGGCTACCTCCAGCCAGTTGGTCTTGTCACCTGCACTGAATTACCTACCAACAGGGGCCTCCCTGCCAAACCTGGTGTGTCTTCATAAGCTAATGCTATTTCTGCATCCACGTCGCCATACCCAGGGGCCAACGGGGTGGTCGTGCCTTTCACGCCTCCTGCTGTTTAACCCTGTGAACTGGAGAGGCTGCAAATGCTTGCATTTTTTTTTTGGCCTAAAGGAAATTAAACACATATATCTATATGGAAATATAGATATATAATGGTTTATGGGGAAAAACATTTGTGCAGCATAAAAATCTAACAATCACTATCAAGTTCAAGGTGCAGATCTTGACACATTTGGCTGTCGGTCCATGAGGAATGCTTAAAAAAAATGCAAGCCATGGGTCCCCACGTCTCTCCACCCCCATTAAAGGAAAGACCACACGAAAATGTGGAATCTACTTGGTTGGAGATGATCATTTCTGTGGGCTTTTCAGGTTTATTTTACTTTCTGTTATTGGTACTGGTTCTCTTTCTCTCATACCAGAGATGTGCCTGGTTAGAGAAATGATCTTGATTAACATTTCCAAGCCGACAGCTCTCCCAAGTACCTAAACCGAAGGAATTCAGTGCACCTACTCAGAGGAGAGGGGCGCGTCCCTCTTGATGTACTAACTGGCCAGGTTGTGTTTCTCTAAACCGAATGCTAACTTACCAACTTCTGTAGGTTTCACTGAATACAGCTGCATGGAATGCTATTACTGTTTGCAATGCAACCTGATTTAAAAACATTGCATTTCTCTTTAATCCAAAGGGGACTAGCAGGTTTATTGTGTTTGCATGTGCTTTCCCCCTAGACTCTGGCTGCCCTAACAAGAAATTCAATAAATCTACTTCCAAATCATCTTGCACAAGCTTTGCATGTCCAGTCGGGGCCTGAGGAAATTAACAAGCGAATAGAACATACCATCGACTTGCGGAGTGGCGATAAATTGAGAAGAGAGCATATCAAGCCATTCTCACTGATGTTTAAAGACTCCAGCCTGGAGCACAAGGTAGAGCTGGGTCTGCACAGCGGCTCTTTTTCTGAAGTCAATTGTCATAAATGTTCGTGGGGCCAGAGAGAGGGCCAGGGGCTGCGGTGTCGGTCGGTGTGTCTGTGGTTTGTCTGTCTGGTTTGGTTTGGTGCTGTCTTTTCTTTTTCTGTTTGAAAATCATGAGTAGACTGAAGGCCATGAAAGGAGATGCTATTTAGATAAAGAAGGAAAAGATAAGGGGAGGAACAAGGAGCCCTCACCCCCGGGAGCCTCCCAGGCCTGCCTTTCACTTTGACGTCATTAGCCCAAGTGACACTGGCACTCACTTGCCTCTGCTTTTAGGTTAATTCTCAGGAGTAGCAACCACGGTAACATAATACATGCAGGCACCGAATAACTTCTGCAAGCATTGCTGTCTTTCTTAGATTGTAGGGGACACGCATTCTCCCGGTTGTCTGCTGGTCCCCTGATGTAGACATAATAGAAAGAAGATGAGCTGTGGATTCAGAGTTGGGTTTGAATGCCACCTCTGCTACTTCTTTGCTCTGTGGCCTTTGAAAAGTGGGGTAGCCTCTCTGGGCATGAGCTGTACGGTGGGATAACGAACGTGCCTCCCTCACAGGTTAGTATGGAAGGTTCCAAGCAATGCCTTGAGTAGGTGAAGTGTCCAAAAATGGCAGCCATCACCACATTGATGGTGACTTCCTCTGATGCCCTTTTCTCTCCCAGCTCTAAACTGTAAAGAGCTGTGGGGAGGTGGGTACGGTCCCTGCTTAACTGGGCTGCTCCCTGCCCTGACGGAAGCTGGCAGACCTTCCTTGACTGAGCACAGGAGGTCTGGTGTCTGTAGGAGCCTCTGGCAAGAACAGCAAGGAATTTGCAAGCAAACTTCAGGATTTTGATGTGACCCTCTGCAAAGCTCCAGGGAGCAATCTTTGGTGAGTTTTCCCAGCTTCCTGGGTGACTCTGCATTCCTCAGTGTGAGGAATACACACTTCTGTGCCCATGCACCATTCCCAGTGAGTGTCTGACAACCACCTAAGGCTGCAAACTCCAAAATTAATATCTTCACCTGCAGTTCGCAATGTGAAATGTATTGTGTCTGTATGCCAACAAAACCAAAGGAGAGGGAACATTTTGCTTTAGTCTACCTCCCCTCTGCCAAATGCCAGGTGGGCTTTTCTGATTTGTAATATAATTGGGGGCTTAAGGTCCAAATTAACTGCATTTTCTTCCCCGGTTGCTGCATTGAAGGAGCTAGGAAGAGCAGGGTGGTCTTGCGAAGAATCTTCTCAATTAGTCCATGTAAATGCCAGTGTCCAGAGCTGCACCAAACCCTTGTATTCATTCTTGGTAAAGATGTACTTGATTCACTAATGACCTGACCTCTGCAAACAGAATTTCTATTTCTAATTTTTGTATTAAATAGCGTCCACATCTCATCTGCAGGGACCTAGTGCTGGAGCAGGAATGGACCTGGGAGGCACAGGGTGTCTGAGGGTGACTTCTGTGATAGGGGAGGTTCTTCCAGGAGAAGCAAAGGGCAGGAATGCCCCACCACAGTCCAGCCTTGTGCCATGTAGCGTGCGGTCTGCATTGCATGGGGTCCCCGGGGTAAGGGCAATGGGGCACATCAGAAAATGTTCATCCCCCCATCTCACAGAGACACCCCTCACTGACACTTGCTCGGGGACCCTCTCTAGGGGCTGCATTATGGCTGAGAGGGGAAATATATTAAGTAACAATCATTGGGTGTTTCCCAAATGCCATATACTCGTCTAAGCTGTTTGCACAAATAGACCAACAATGAAGAGCATGGATTAAATGTTACTATGAGCCTCATTTTCTACTTGATGAAATAGAGAGACAGGGAAACGACCAAGAAATGCCCAAACTCGAACTGTCAGTACAGGGGCTGTGACCTAAGGCCATAGTGACCCCCAAAACCAGTGTCTTGTCTCTCCCTGGAGCCCCGGGGACTTGCCCTCCCAGGACCTTGTATAAGAAGACAGTCCTGTGTTATCTTCATCCTCTCCTCTTAGAACCTTGGATGGGGTGCGAGGCCTGGAGCAGGGGTTGGAGGGCGAGATTGAATAGGAAAGGGTCCTAGGGCCTTAACAAAACAGAGCAGGCCTTTCAAATCCACAGGATTCTGTGCCTCGTGTTTATATATGTCAGTTTACTGCATCCTCAGAAAAACATTACTATCCCACTTACAAAAGGGAAAACGAGCCTCCCAGAGGTCAAGTAGAGGTCACAGACCTCAGAACCCCACTGCCATACTTAATGGGCTCTGAGCTACCACCACCTCGGAGCTGTCCCATCTACTACACAGCACAGAGAAAGATAAATCGCCCAGCATGGGGAGTTGGGGAATTTATCCCCGCCCCACCCACCCACCCACAGTAAACTGGGCTTATACCTCCAGGGTAAGGATGGACAGGAAAAAAACCTACCCAGCAGACAAGGAAAGTGGGGAAACCCACATTCCTATACCCTAGAATTAGTTAGATGGGGAAAAAAGAGCTCTCCAAGAAGTTAAAGTCCAAAAGGCGATCTGAATAGGTTTGCTGCCTGAGTTCACACTCTGAATGTGGTCTTAAAAAGCACCTCAGGCAGAGAATGTATATTTAAAGCAGTCCCTGGTTGACACTGCCCCCTGCTGACCAGCGGGAGCAATCGCAGACCTCCCTGGAAGAACTCAGAGATTTTAAGACCTCATTGATGACAGTAAGACGCAAAATGTGAGGGCGGGTTAAGTATCTTAGAGTTGGTGAAATGTATACAGTATTTGTGACACCAAAACCTTTAACCACTGCTCTATCCTGCTTTTGGGGAGAAAGTTTGCACCATAAAAGCGTTTTCTGAAAGGAAAAGTGGAAATGGCAATGACCTCACCCTGGGGAGGTTTGTGGGGAACAAAAGGCTTGACTGTTTCAACAATGAAAGGTGTGTAACTAAAGGATATATAACTTTATTGTCTCCACAGTAAAAGGATATGTAACTAATAAAACTCTCCAGCTTTATTAGTGAGTTGTCATTCAGACCTTTCCTGACCACGTGCAACTGGCACACCGACCAGCAGCGTGTGCAGCAGGCCTTCCGGGTACCCCCCCGTGCTGCTTAAACACTTGTTGGATGAATGGAGACTGACATCAGGGAGACTATTCAAGGAGACTGCCTCGCCCTGTAGCTGGTCTCAGGATATCATTTTAGAGAACTCTAAGCCAAAGCACACAGGTCAGTTTTGAGCTGATTCTAAGAAGCGGTGCCTCAGGAGAGAAGAGTATAAAGTTCCACATATTCCCTGCCGTGTCATTTCAAAGTCACACACTCACACATACATACATATATACACATGCACACTACACATAGACATGCATACACATATACATACACACATACGCACATGTACACACATAAACCTATATGAATACACATTCCTACACCTATACACACATACACACATACATATTCATACATATATATACATGCACACATGTACACATACATACACTAATGCACACACCTACATATGTATACATTCATACACATGCATTCATACATACACACATATATACATCTACACATGCACATATACACACATACACACACACATACACACAGAGACATCTTTTGAGTTAAGCTTCAGAAAAGTGCACTCACAACTCAGGCAGCTTAGCCACATCTGGGCAGCACATTTCCCCACCTCTGTTCCCCGGGTCCCGCATCTGTGAGCTGGGAGGGTTGAACTCCCCATCTTTCAGCCGTCAGTGCTGTGAGCCTGTGAATTCCCTACGACCACAGTGACCACGTGTTGTGGTCTGCCTGAGACGGTCCTGGTTTACATCTGTTTTCTCAATATAACTTCCAGCAGCACCGCCTTTCAGGCTCACAAATCACCCAGTGTGGGCGACAACTCGTGTGACCCAGGTCTCGGGCCTCAGTCAGATCAGAATTAGTGGTTCTCACCATCTTCATGTCCCAGCAACCACACGAGGACTTTCTGGGTAGACCCTTGGGTGAAGGAGGGGACCTAATCCAATCATCAAAGGTCCCCTCCAGGGCCTCCCAGATTTTCCAGAAGGATCCACAGCCCTCCTTCAGCGTCAGGCTGAATATTTCCTAAGGGAGCTTACAGTTCTCAGGGGCAAACAAAAATTAGTACTATGGTAAAGAGATGTAGGAAACAAGACATGTTTTTCAAATACTGTCAATCATATTGGACTTTTTCTTTCATTATATATGACTTATTTCTTAGTAAAAAAAAATACATTTTCATTACTGAAAGCTTATACCAAACATATAAGGCAAAATGATGAAAATAACATGTTGTGATCCTACAACCCAGGATAACTACCCACTGTTAGCATTCTGGCATCAGGCATGCTGGTCTTTCATGAGTGTGGTTCTGTGTACTTACCTTTGCTATTGGTTTTACTAAGTGGGGCCATTTTATACATATGCTTTGTACCATAGTGTTAAACATTCTTTGCTTGAGCTTTTCCCCACATTATTAGGTTACAAGGAAATTACTTTGTAACTGCACACTATTCCATTCCATGTTTTAACCATTTTGGGCTTTTTTCCCCTTAATTTTTCACTATTATAATTTATAAACTACATGGTGATGGCCATTGTCATATTGAAATCATACATCCATGCTTAATTGCTTTCTTAGGATAAATTCCTAAAAATGAGAGCAAGAGAATGCACATTTCTAAATATTCTATGTGCATTCTGAAATTGCCCCCCAAAATGTGCCTGTTCTTTTTAAAAATCACCAACTTGATAAGAGACAAGCAGCATCTTCCTGTCATGTTTTAAAATTATTATTGAGGTTGATGTCTTTCTGTATGTTTTTTTTAAATATAGTTTTTAAATACGTTTTTATTGATTTCAGAGAGAGGAAGGGAGAGATAGAAGCATCAACGATGACAAAGAATCATCAATTGACTGCCTCTGTACACGCCCTACTGGGGATTGAGCCTGCAACCCAGGCATGTGCCCTAACCATG